CTGCACAGGTGGCTGCGTCAGGTCAGGTGGCTGCGTCGAGTCAGGTGTCTGCGTCTTGTCAGTTTGCTGCGTCGTGCTCGTGTCGGGTACTCTCCCACCAGACTCTTCTCTGGCACCACCGACTCGGTCACCCCTCTCTGCCGCGTCTCCGCAGCATGCACTCCCGCGCTCGCCTGCCCTGCCGTGCCTTCCCTGCGTCGAGGGGCGGCAGCGCGCCGCTCCTCACTCCTCGTTTCCTCCGACCACTGCTCCTTGGCAGACTCTCCACATGGACGTGTGGGGCCCGGCCGCCGTCTGTGGGACGGAACAGGAGCGCTACTTCGTACAAATCGTTGACGACTACACGCGCTACACCACGGTCTTCCCCTTGCGCAGCAAGGCGGACGTCCGCGGTGTTTTTGATCCCCTGAATCCGCGCTACTTGTCGGACAAAGAACAGGGTCGAGCCACGACGAACGAACAGTGACGGGTCGGCAGACGACGGAAAGAAGTCAAGCGCTGCAAGGGTCGAGCGAAGTGTGTCGTGCCACTCACGTGGAGCCTGGCGCAGGCCGTAGACTGGTCAACGCAGCTGCCACTGGGTGCCAGCAAGGAAAGAGCCAGTGAAGCCAGGCAGGCGACGCAGTCAGATCTGCTCGTGCAGGCTCCCCTGAAGGAACGCGGTGGAAAAGTCCAATGAGTGCAACTCGTAGTCGCGCTCGGCTGCAATATGCAGCAACACCCAAAGAGTACTCATCTTCGGGGTGGGAGAAAAGGTCTGGAAGAAGTCCACCCCCTCTCGCTGACTGAAGCCTCTCGCCACGTAGCGCGCCTTGAACACCGGTGGTGATCCAGGCGGCCGCTTCACTTTGTAGAGCCATCGGCCACTGACGACGTTCGTCCCAGGTGGTGGGACTGCGTCGACGTAAGTGCCTGTGGACCTATAAGATGCAATCTCTGCCTCCTCAACTGCTATCCAGTACGAAGCCCAACGTCCCGAGACCGCCTCAGCGTGAGTGCGAGGGATCGGGATGTCAAGGGCGTCTGGATCCCCCTCAGGGGCAAGCAGCATGGCGCTGAGATGAGGAACAGCGGCCGCCAGGAAACCAAGCTCGAACTGCCTGTCCTCTAGGACCTCCAGGGGAAAAACAAGAGCACCCTCAGAGAACGGAGAACGAGCAGGGCCACTCACCAGGTGAGCGGCGTAGTCAAGGCGGTGGGAAGAGGCAAAGCCAGTGATAGTGGTAAGAAGAGCTGAGACAGACGACAGGGGTGCAGTCGGGTGAGTGACCAACGCGGACTAAACACGGGAGACGACAGGACGGGAGGCACAGAGGTAGTCGAACAACGGGTCGTGAAGCACAGTGAGGGACGACTTAGGAGGTTGTGGAAGGACTGGAGGAGGTGGAACACGAGAGCGGAGAACAAGGTGAAACGGGCCGTCTGTACGGTAACAAGACCGACGGGGCTCTGGAGACACAGCACGACTGAGGGGAGAACGACGAGTCCACTGGGACGAGGAAAGGGACTGGACGGGGGGAACAGGAGGGGACTGCTCTGCCTCCTCTGGCGTCTGCTGCGACGGTACCTGCCCCTGCTGCTGCTTCTGTGGCTCCTCCTCTACCCTCTCCTCCTGCGGCTGTAGCTGCACTCGCTGCTGCGACCAGGACTCCTGCGCTACCCTCTCCTGCTGCGGCCTTGACTCCTCCTCTACTCTCTTGTGCTCTGTCTGTAAATGCACCTGCTGCTGCGGGCGGGACTCCTGCTCTACCCTCTCCTGGTGCGGCCGTGAGTCCTCCTCTACCCTCTCCTGCTGCGACTGCAACTGCACCTGCTGCTGCACTCGTGACTCCTCCTCTACTATGTCCTGCTGCAGCCGCAACTGCACCTGCTATTGCAGTCCTGACCCCTCCTCTGCCGTTTCCTGCTGCTGCTGTGACTCCTCCTCTACTCTCTCGTGCTGCTGCGACTGAGACTACTCCTGCTCCTACTGCTTCTGCTGCTGCTGCTGCTGCTGCTGCTGTGCCCTCTCAAACCGCTCACGCTCCTCCCTTTCCAACCGGAGGAGACGCTGCTCACGTGTCAGGAAACGTACGGTGCGCGGTGTAGGCACCACGGTGCCAGTGCCTCCAGCTCCAGCACCCCCAGAACCAGCACCTCCACCACCGACACCTTCGGGGCCTCCAGTACCTCCCGCAGGAACACCCCCAGGCTCCGCAGCAACTGGCCGCAGAGAAGAACGAGGAGGGAACTGCGGGACGGACTGGAAGCCAGGGGGTGACGCGGGGCGAGGCCGCCGACTCGAGGCTGCCGTGTCCTCCACGGGAGTGACCTCCACGCCCACACCCCCTGCACCCCCAGAGCCGACACCACCAGCTCCAGCAGCCCCAGTACCCTCACCCTGCGTAATTGCACCTCCCGCACCCCCAGACACGACAGGGACTGGATGCTGCGGGGGGGACGACTCCGGAGTGACGTGCCCACACAGGCCCTGGGCGCCACCCCTCGCTAGTAGCCACGGCTCGAGGACGGTAGGCACGTCAGCCTTCCGACGCAAGGGGAAAACCGTGGTGTAGCGGAAGTAGTCGTCCACCACAGTGAGGAAGTAGCGCTTCTGACGTGGGCCAAGGACCGGGGAGGGGCCCCAGACGTCCAAGTGCAGGGTCTGGAAGGGAGCCGTGGTGGGGGGGAACGACGAGGAGTGAGGGGCAGCGTGCTGCCGACCCTCGACGCAAGGAGTGCACGGTGGCGCAGGCGAGCGAGGAAGCGGGGCAAGCGACTCTGGGAGACCTGAGACCAGACGGTGATGCACCATCCTACTGAGACGTGGGAACGACGGGTGACCTAGACGGTGGTGCCAGAGGACCGACGGGTGGGTGAGTGACCGACAGTCACACGACACAGCAGCTACCTGACCTGACCTGACCAGACCTGACCCAGTGTGGTGGGACCCAGTGTGTAATGAGTACAGTCCAAAGCCCGGCTCCATGTGGAAAGTGGCCAGAGGCGCCCCAGTGGCACCGACTGTGCAGGAGGCAACAGGCTCGTCCACTGGGAAAGTAGTGACTATGCCTAGGTCGTGGAGGTGACTGACACGCACCAGGTTCCTGGAGAACGAGGTGGTCTAGTAACCTGTGAGAAACCCAGAGGGAGCCGCCAGACACGGGAGAGTGGTGGTGCTGTGGGCAACTACAGGTCCCACGCTGGGGTCAGCCAAGGCGACAGTGACTGGAGTGCGCAGTGGTGTGAGGTAAGTACAGTCGCGAAAGAAACAGCTGGACGCTCTAGAGTCTACGGTGAAGGAAAGTTGTGCAGTCTGTGAGGTCGCACCTGAGCCAGGGACAAAGGCTGGTGCTAGACAAGTGGTAGCTGCAGCTCCTACACAAAGACACTCAGAGGTGCCTGGACTAGAAACAACACACACACCAAGACTGGAAACACAGGTCTCTACTCGTACAGCCGGGAAAGGTCCTAGACCAGGTAGGTGAGACTCAACTGGTGCAGCAGTGCGCTGGCGAAGACGCGAGGGCCAGTGCGGTGTAATTACAAATTACAGATACAAAGTGTAACAATTTTCATGGTTGGTTTGGGAGTGGCGAGGGAAGCAGGCGGGCTTGGGGGAGGGGCCAGCAGGTGGGCTGGGGGTAGGGGCGAGAGAGGAATCTGGGCAATGGGGAGAAACAGGGTGGGCTGGAGGAGAGTTGAGAGAAAGTGGGGGGCTAAGGGGGAGTTTAGAGTAGACGAAGTGGGCTGGGGGGAGATTCGAGTGAATGAAGAGGGCTGGGGGGAGATTCGAGTGAATGAAGTGGGCTGGGGGGAGATTCGAGTGAATGACGTGGGTTGGGGGGAGATTCGAGTGAAACACGTGCGCTGGGGGAATTTTCGTGTGGAAGTGGCGGGCTGGGGGGAGGGACAAGCGAAAGAAGGGGGACTATGTGGGGGACAATATATCTAAATGTATTATATAGATAAATATATTGTTAGACAACATACGGATAATACTATAAAACTCTTGTAATGTTGTACTTATTGAACTACTAAATTGTATAAGTCATTTTTTTACTTTCAATTTTGGAGTGCCATGTTGTCGGTATTTGTTGTCAACGTGGCCAAATCCAATCAGAAGCATGCAGTACTGGAACTTCGGGCGAGGTAGTCGCTTCGTTAAGTAATTCGCAGCCATTTCGCTAGTGGGGCAGTAGGCGAGCCATAACTTGCCTTGCTCAATTTCGTCCATCACGAAAATGTAGCGTAGCGATATGTGTTTGGTTCGATTGGCGAAACCTGGGTTGTTCGCGATGCGGATTGCAGATTCATTGTTGCAGCAGAGTGAGATTTGCAGCACGTCTAGTTGTCAAACTATGTTTGTATGTTTGTAGGCTGTAGTGAGCCTCTACTGAGTACAACACTTTAATACGCATCTCCCATTCTAGTCAATAATTCTTGCCTATAGTATTCTAACATGGTATCAGAGCAGGTCCGTCCGTAGGACTGCTCCGTAGGGCCTGCTTCAGCAAGGAAGCAGCACTCAAGGACGTCTCCCCATACTACTTGCTATTCGGAAAAGAGTTGGTGATGCCAGTGGATGCCCCGAAGCTACTGTTAGATGTAGTGACGACCGGGTTTTTAGAGAAATGGGTGGCAGTGGCAGACGCCAGAGCCACTTACCTCAAGCATTTGCTCCCAGCGGAAATGGAGAACGTGCAAGTAGAGAGGTACAAGCAGCGGCAGCAGGCAAAAGGCAGTGTAAGTCGGCCAGGAGTACGACTGAGGGAATAGGTGTATTTGCGGAAGCAGAGAAAGGATGCGCTAGACGTGGGCCTGTTCAGCAGCGCTGTGCGGTGAAAGAGGTAAAGCCTTCCGGGGTGATCGCCTTGGAGGATGGTAAAAGAAACAGGGTGGCTGACCACGTGACTAACATTGCCAGGATTCGGAGCGAGAGAGAACCAGTGGCCCCTCTAGGTCCCATGACGCACTCGAGGACGGCAGCCTGGCATCATGGGAGGGGGCAGGAAGGTGCTTCATATCTGGTGAACAAGGCAAAGGGTAAGGAGAAGGTAGGGTGAGGAGGCTACGATGGAAGGGAGAGGCAGATAAGGGGATGGCAGGAGGGAAGTGCAGAAGAGGTAGATTGGGTAAAGTGGGAAGGAGAGCGGGGCAGCCAGGGAGAGAGGTAAGGCAGAAAAGGGGTCACAAGAGGGAAGGGAAGGATGATTCTGACATGGGCACTATGGGCATTTGAGCACTATGGGCACTATGGGCACTATGAGCACTATGGGCACTATGGGCATTATAGGCACTATGAGCATTATGGACACTGTAGGCAGTATGAGCACCATGGGCACTATAGGCTTCATGAGCAATATGGGTACTATAGGCACTGTGAGCACTATCGGCATTATAGGCACTATGAGCACTATAGGCACTATAGGCACAATTAGCACTATGAGCACAATGGGCATTATAAGCACTATGAGCACTATTCGCACTATGGGCACTATGAGCACTATGGGCACTATGAGCACTATGGGCACTATAGGCACTATGAGCATTATGGACACAATAGGCACTATGAGCACTATAGGCACTATAGGCACTATGAGCACTATGGGCATAAAAGACACTATGAGCACTATGGGCACATTGGGCACTACAGGCAATATGAGCACTATGGGGACTATTGGCACTATGAGCACTATGAGCATTATGGGCACTATGAGCACTATGAGCACTATGGGCACTATAGGCACTATGGGCACTATGAGCACTATAGGCACTATGAGCACTATGGGCATTATAGGCACTATGAGCACTATAGGCACTATAGGCACTACGAGGACTATGGGCACTATGAGCACTATGAGCACTATGGGCGCTATGCACCCGTGAAGATACCGAACTAGAGGAACGAACCTCACTGAATCTACCTTGTTGGGTGAAACTCAATAGGAAAACTTTGGGGCAAAGCTAATGCCATAGTAGGTGCTGGCGGTCCACACTACCGCGGACCAGAGGGAGATGGGAAGAGAGAGCAGCGCCATCGGCACAGACCACGCCTACGCGGGGGAGAGGAGGTTATCCCATTGGAGGAAGAAGATGGACAGGCGAGTCGTGAGGAGCGTTATCTTTATGAAGCAGCCGAACATCATTATGATTATCCCGAAAAAGATTGCTCCCCTATAGTAGTTGCCGTCGAGAGGCGTGACGGCGAACTCGGAGCGCCAAAAGACTGGCATTGTGACTACAACAAGGGGGGGGGGGGGGGGGGGGGGGGGTCTGGTAATGGGAGGGGATAAGGAAGAAGGAGACGTGACATCAGGCAAATTTGTGAGAATCACTATGGTTGCAAGTGGAGGGAGTCACATCTTACTATAAGGAACATCTTGCTTCCAGCACGTGATATCTTGCTGCCAGCACACGATATCTTGCTACCAGCACGTGACATCTTGCTACCATGTGACATCTTGCTGCTAGCACATGACAACACGTGACATCTTGCTGCCAGCACGTGACATCTTGATGCCAACAAGTGACATCTTGCTACCAGCACGTCACATCTTGCTACCAGCATGTGACATATGACAAGTGGTATTGGTAACATACATCTGAACTACCAGCATATGGTCTGCCATGTATAGGGTACATAATCCCCACCAGTTACTGTGACTGCAACGAGCACCATCTCTACCTGGATGGTCTGCACGATGTAGAGCAGCAGATTCCGCCGCATCAGCAGCCACTCGCGGCCCGCGACAACACTGAGCGTGGCAAGAGGAGGAAACACAAACCACCTCTGTGCCAGTGCAGGAGACACACCCCCCCCCTCCTCGCTGCATCCATTTCCCTCCTCTCCTCCATTTTCCACGTCCTTCCCTTGACCTTCTTCCATGTATTCCACGTCTTTTCTCCCATCCTCTCCCTTGCCTGCGACCCAATCCTTCTTGAACGGAATAGACAGCTCTGCATCCATCTGCTTGCCAAACCAAGGGGCTCGGACAGACACGTGGCGGCATGGGCGGGGCTGGGTTGGGTGCCAGTACTGCTCCTGGTTTTTTTAACCAAGTGACCTATCTCGAAGTGAAAGACCCCACCCTTGCTTGGGCGCAGGCGTCCTCGATGCAGACATGGTGATTTCGACGAGGTGATCGTCGAATGGCTCTCGGGTTTAGACGACAGAGATCGTCGACCAGCCCGTCCTCTGATCGACAGATGGTATTCAACGAGCTCGTCCTCTGATTGGCCAGCCCGTCGACGAACTCTGACTGACGGGGTGCTTTTCGATGAGCTTGTCCTCCGATCGAGGGCGCTGTTCGGCGAGCCTCGTCTCGGCGAACTGGTCGGCCGAATTTGCGCGACTGCAAATCTCTGCCGGGGAGTGCGAATTTCGGCCGAGAGGTTTTGGCAAAGTCAAGATGCGGAAGGGCATCACGTGCGCAATGGTGGACATCTGGCAAAACCGTCGACGCGATTTCTACTTGGCACCTGCGAAATTTGCCTGACGGTGCAACCGTCGACTTGCACCTACTTGGTAGGTGCGCACATGTGTGCACATATTCACCTGCGAATGCAGCGCTGACAGGCCGCCCTGCTGCAGCGTTGACAAGCTGCTCTGCTGCTGCGCTTGCAGGCTGCTCTGCTGTGCTCATAGGCTGCGCTGGCTGTTTGCCTTACAGAATACTTGTTAGGTGTTGCAATGCCTTCATTGTTATATCGAATTGCATGCCTCATTGTAATCTATTGTTCTTCTCAATTTCTTAGCAAAAATCTTGCCAAATTTCTCTGTGAATACAGCAAGTAGTAAGAACACTAGTAGAACACTATGATACAACCCCGTGCCCTCCTCCGTAGTCCACTCTCATTGTACAGTGTGTGTCTGCAACCTAAAGGGGGGATTTAAGATACACAAACAGGAAGTTGATGAACAGAAGATGAGAATATAAAATACGAGAAACACTAAGATTTAACAGGACCAGCTCAAAGGCACCTTTGGGGAAACACACTCCTCACCTTTATGACTATTTAGGAGCAACTTAGAGGAATCCACATCTTGCAGGAAGGCAGCAACCCCCTTGCAGGCGGTCGGCGCAAAACCCAATTTCTGGAAAAATCCCAACACCTCCTCTTTGGGCCCATGGTACACAATCCGCCCCTCTGGCATCAGCATGACGTCATCAAACAGCTCAAAGGTTTCTGGTGCCGGTTGCAGCAGGGAGACGAGGGTGATGGTATTAGTATAGTGCGTGAGGTCGCACATGCACCGTATGATTCGGTAGGCTGTGGCAGAGTCGAGCCCTGTAGAGATCTCGTCCAATATGAGACCGTATGAGGCTTTGCACCCAAGAGTGCTTCCGTGATGGTCACCCGCTTCTTCTTGCCTCATGATACCAGTCTTCGCATGCTGATGCCTATTATGGTATCAGCATCCACGTCCAAGCCGAGCATATGCAGAACAGGTGGCACAGGGTGGAGGAGAGAACGGAGGAAGCGACTTGACTGAGTATGTGCCATGTGGTTCTTATCAGGGTATCATCACATATGTGCAAGCCTGCCAAGCGTCATGGTGGGGATAGAACAATGCCGTGAAAATCCGAGCTGCAAGGGACGGGTGATGGGAGAGGAGTGCGGCAGCATGCTAAGACAGATCAGATGTGGGCAGAGAGAAAATGCAGGTTGGGTGGCCGAGAGAAAAGAAATGATGAGAGTGGTACAAGTAAACGAGCTAAGCACAAACAACCGCACATGCGCACACACACATACACACACATACACATACACACACGCATACACACACCCAGACATGCATACATACACGCCCACAAATGCAAGCAGACAAACACATGTGCACGCATGCGCACACGTGCACGCACCCGTGCACCACATACACACCCGCCACCCCCCTCCCCTGTCGCCCACACATACACACAGAACCCTACACACCTTGAGGACATACGGCACCACAACTTTTTATCACCGCCTCTCATCGCCCATCGCCTGCAGGAGCATTCATTACGCATGCAGCAACATCAGAAAGGGGAGGGGAAGGGTGAAAGAGTTTTTAAAAAGAAGAGGCTGGGCTGTCAATTTTTGGTCACTCATACATCCTTATAAATGTACGTATAAGGGCACCAAGGAGGTCCGAATCTATCTACACATGTGTGATGAAATTTCCTTGAGGCACCTCAGAAGTTACTCATGATACGACGATGTTATAAGAGACATAATAGGTAGCATGTCCGGTACAAAAGGGGTGCCAAATTGGTAGTATCAAAACTAACCTGGACGTACGAACAGGAGGCAGCAAAAATGTATGAGCATGAGTTCACTCAAAAGTCAACCTGGGCAGACTAAAACATCTTCTCGTACTCGAGAACAATATGCATGCCTGTACGTCACAAACAATCTGGCAATAAAAATGTTCCACCGTAGAAGTGACGGTGACGACATCACCTTGATGGCATCAGCCTTCATAACATCATCATCTTGGTGACATCAATACCCCCTTAATTTCATCCCCCCCGTGACGTCATCATCATTTTCCATACGGATTCCATGACGTCAGCATGCCCATGAAACACCACCATATTAATCAGCCACACCGCTCACCGACCCTCCATGTCCGCGCTGATTAAGTTATTGATCTTCTGCTGACCCTTGGAGATCTAATCCGCAATCTCGGGCTGCAGCTGCATCGCCTCCTTATGCATGCTGGTGTGTTCGTGGATGCGCATCGTCTGTCGCTGCAGGTGTCGTCTGCCATTGCCACTACTGGAACACTTTGTGGTTTCTCTGCAGAAGGAGAGGCAGACATTGCACGTCAAGGTGGGAAAACCATCCTTTGCGAGAAGCAACACAAGCCAAGGAAACTATTAGGATCAAGGACGGAGTCTATGTAGATTAGGGGCCAAATAAACTCAAAATGATTGGACTACAATTCACTAGAAAAGTCGACTTCACAAGAAACGCCGTCGACGAAAATCTCACCGTTAAAACTTCACCAATTCGGATTTGTTATAGCAGTAGACCATGGCTACAATTCCCAATTTGAATCGCATAAAAAGGTGAAGTATTTCTCAAGTTATGAATTTCGGCGCACTAGGGGGTAAGCTGGAGCTCAAACTTAGCTCAATCACAGTCTTGTCCAACCAAGAACCACACATGAGAATGAGAGTAGCTAGGAACCAGGTAGGAGGGGATGAGGAGGAAAAAAGAGGAGGTCCTAGGGAGTCCCAAACCAATCAAACCCCATAGGCACAAAATTCCCCTCCCTATAGGAACCCAACTTTGACATTTGTCTCTTTCCCAACCCATGCCATCCACCTCACCCCAACTTGGCCACACTTGCCAACCTGGTTTAGCTTCTCCCAACCATTTGGCAGCAACTACAGTGAAGTGACGAATTTTCCCAACACTCGATGGTCTATACCCCATATAGATTCGCCCCACGAATTTCCATAGTCGCCGCAACCAAATATCAAAAGCATACGAACTTCAACCGTTCGTAACTTTCTCGTTCGTGCTCCGATTGAAGCGATCTTTGGTGCATCGGAAAGCTCTTGAGCAGAGGAGTCACTTCAGATATCCCCTCAAGCAGAAAAAACATTCACACACGTCCAGAAAGTCCAAACAACACCGAACACAAAAAATTGCACACGCTCACACCACGCATGCAAGATAGGAGAATATGATGGGAGTCAGACAGACGTGAATGCAAATGATAGCAATACATAAAAAAAACTTTGGGAGCCATTGACTCTCGTACTTCAAACTTGCCTCGATATACTTCTACTCGATGAGCTCCTTCGACAGCAGCGGCAAATTCGTGTCCTCTCTAACCGGAACATCTATCGGTGCAGCATCTTCATCGGGATCGGGTGGTGGGATGCGGATTCCACGAAACGGTCAATTTCTCTCTTGGCACGTTCGTGTGCGCTTTTATGGATGGTGGGTGGCCCTCAGAAGTGGGAGCGGTCTCGTCACCACCACTACTACCAATGGCTTAGGGGGTCGCTTTACTTATCGACGCGATAGCGGGTGGGAGTGTGAGCTGTGCTGTGCTGGTGCGAGGTCAACACCACGTGCTGTTGACGGAATGGGATCCAGTTTAGCATAGAAGTTTGCGGCGGGTGGTTTAGGAATAACAGGAGCTACGTTCGAACTGCGGAGATTCACTCTACAACGGTCGGGAGCTAGAATACCGGGGGTTGTCACGAGTATTAGGAGTGACCGTAGCTTCCTTAGCATTCTCTAGCACTTGTGCGTCCATAGAGCAATTCTGCAAGAGTTTCACTAGGGAAAGTTGCATTACAGAATGATAGAGCAAGGAATGGGAAGAATGACTACATCAGAGCCTAGCAACCTAGCAGCCAGGCAGGTCGACCGCTAGCACAGCATGGTCGACCGCCTGCCAACGTTGCGTAGAGGAGCCGCCCAGCGCTGAAGAAATGCGGCCTGCCAACAGAGTAGGTCGACGGCGTGCCAACGCTTCAGCAAAGCGGCTGTCCAGCGTTGCACCCGTAGATGACAGCAGTGCGCACGCTCACAGGTGCGCGCAGACGATTGACCCGACATGCACCGTTACTCATCTGTCGGCTATTGTCTGCGCCTGACGAGCCACATCGTACCAGCCCGAAGTCGCCTTCGACATCGCGACCTCAACGCCGTTCACGTGCCTCCGCAAAACCTCGTCCAGCTGGTAACCAGGTCGACCGGGTCGACCACCCGGAGCCCTAGTCGACCACCACTCCTGTCGAGGACCGCCCTGGTCGACGGACCCCTCCATCGACCAACACGGTCGACTGCAGCCGTCGAGCTCCATCTTCGACGGCTCCTCGACATACCTGCGCAGGTCGACGATCACCCTCGTCGACCACACCAGTCAAACTAGGCCGCCAGCTTCCCTTCATCGGCGGCATCACTGCGGTTCCCTGCAGGTCGACCAACTCCGTCGACTTGCACGCGTCGAACTTTGCG